GAGGATTTATTGTGAACATGTGTATTGGATCATGTGGGGGATTAGGAATAGATGTTTCCATTTAATGAATTCACCTACAACAACAATCACAATGCAAACATTTTGATGACACATTATAAGGTTTTGTATGGGAGGAGGCTAAGACTCCTATGTGTTGGTATCAAAATGGAAAAATAAACTTAATAGGACATGAGTTGCTCTATTAAACTTGTGAGAAGGACATGTAGACTAAGAAGAGGATGAGAGCCTCTCAATGCTAGCAAAAATACTATGTTGATAAAAGGAAGCAACCTTTAGAGCTTGTAATTCAAGATCATGTGTTTTTAGAGTCACACTTATCATTAGAGTTAGAAGAGCCATCAAATCCAAAATGTTGTCTTAATGAGGAAGTATGTTATTGACTCTAATCATGCATTAGATGTATATTTGTTGCAAGTCGAGGATCTATCCGTTAAAGTTAGGCTAATTAGGACTAAAAAATAACATATCAACCACTATAGGGATATGTTTATTAGCATAGGTGTTATACAATGTTAGGTTACATGAATATACTTGGGAGTAAGGAAAAAGTACAAGAAAATTTTATCCTTATCTCATCCCTGATAAATGAATTTTAAAAGACATAATTTTTTTGTTAGGAAGAATGTAGGAACTTAGTTTAAGTAAGATAAGAGTATTAGTGGTTTAATGGGGTAAAATTTAAAGTTTTACTAGTTAGGTTAGAAAGTGTTATAAATAAATAAAAACATAATTATTCAAACCTAATTCTCAAAAAATCATCTCTTTACAACTTCATTTCTCTTACTTTTTTCTAACTTTCTCAATCCTCCTCTTATCTTTTTCACAATTAAAGCACACTTTGTGAAAATATTATTTAAGTGAGTTAAGAGTAGAAATGATTAGTGGAGATAAATTGTAAAATTTTATTAATTAAGTAAAAAAATTATAAATAAAAAATCTTAATAATTTAAACTTTATTCCAATAAAACTATCATCTCTTTACAATTTTCTCTCTCTACCTTCTCACCTTACTTCATCTCTCATCTTTTTCTAGATCAGATATATTTTCATACTCTTAAAGTAGAGGAAGACATTTCTAATTGATCAAAATTTCCAATAAAGTTTTTTTAGAGCATTTATATGTAAATTTGAGGAATCTGCATGTGGGATCTAGGGTGTATACATGTGGGCTTTGTTGGACAAAGATAAATCATAATTAGTTTAAAATATTATGGTAGGCTCAATTTGTTAATTGAAATTTGCTATGAGTAGAATCTGACTATGAAATTGAGGAAAGGAAAACTAGTTTTATCGTCAATAGAACCCTAAGTTAGAATATGTGAATGTGTTGACGTGACTTAGTCACAATTATTTGAGATAAATAATTTAATTGAGTTGGAAATCCAATTTTTCACTGATTGTGAACTTTTCATAATCACTGTTGGACAATGATCAATTCACCAAACGAAACTCATTTATGTGAAAATGTTATAACTTTTATCGTTTAAAAAAACTAAGGTGTTTTGGTTGTTGTGCGATAGATATGTTCGTTAAGCGAGTAAAACTTGTGGCTAAGTGAATATGGCATGTACTTAATTTGTTAAGAGAACATTTGTGTCACTAAGTGAAAAGAGTATTTTCTAGCATTAAAAACATGTTTTTTAAATGATTTTTAATGTTAAAATTGTTTATATTTCACTTAATTATTATATTTCAACAACTTGTTATACTTAAATACTTAAATAATTAATATTGTTTGGTGAATGGAGAATTTGAATTTTTAGTATTTATGTTTATGTTAGGATGTATGGTTTTGGATGATAAGTTAGAATTTGTAAAGTGGTATGAGTTATTATGATATTTATGTGATGTGATATGTGCAATTATTAAAAAAGTGTATTATAGGAGAACTACAAAGAGTTATTCTCATATGTGTAGTGTGATATAATGTGTATAGATATTGAATTGAGGATTTGATGAGATATCTTAACTCTACTGACCACTAAAATCATATAGATAAAAGGATCAGGTGATGAAAGTTAAAGAATGTTTTTATGACTTAGATCTTAATGTGTTAAGTTTTAGAAAGTCATAAGAGTTTATTATGATCATACAAGAGTTTATATACCATTTTGAGTATCCTAGTATTTTAACATTTAAAGGGATATGTAGTGCGATAGAAGCATACCTCTTAGTTTAATTCAATATATAGTTCTTCAAAAGTCGTCTAGAGTATGTCTGCATAATAATGGACTTGTATGGTCGTGATGTATTTATGAATGTGCGACAAGATAGTTGGCTTGTATTAACGTTAGGTGATGTATTAACTTTGGAATGAATTTTGTGTATTGTTAATATATGTGAAAATGTATGAAATTGTTTGTTTTAGAACAAATTTCAATTTAGCATGTTTATTTTGAATTACTAGTGTGTTAAGTGTGATATTTTAAATTGTGATGATCATGTATTTACACAAAAGTAAATGATGCAAGTATTAGACCTCAATATGATTAAGCTTGAATAAGATTTAAAATATTTTTTTTAGTTCCAATATTTTTATGTTTTAAATGTATGTATGTAATTTACTATGAGAAGGAGTATATATTTTAAAATATTGTTTGTGTAAATTATATAAATATCTATTATATATATATATATATATATATATATATATATATATATATATTTTAGGATTGTTACATTAATAATATCAAGAGTTTTGTGAAGTTAGCTCAATATTATAGGAAATTTATTAATGGGTTCTCCAAGATTTGGTGCTCCTAACATAATTGACTCACAATGATTAACCTTTTACTTGATCATATAGATGTGAGCAGAACTTCCTAAAGCTAAAACAAAGGTTGATCACTTCCCAGTCTTGATGATTCCAACATTGGAAAAATATTTTTAGGTTTATTGTAATGCATCACCCTAGGGGTATGGTGGTGTGTTGATGCAAGAGGAATGTATGGTAGTTTATAATACCAAGTAACTAAAACACATGAGAAGAAGTTGTTGCGATGTTAGCTTTGAAGACCTAGAGACATTATCTTTATGATTTTCAATTTTTGGTATTCAATAAACATAAAAGTCTCATGACCAGAAGGAATAGCCTTAAGAGATAGAGGAGATGGATGAGTTTTCCAAAAAAAAATACGAGCTATAATGGATACATCACCCTAGAGAGACGAATATGGCAAAAAACACCTTGAACAGAAAGACAATGCAAATGTTAACCCTGACGGTGAAAAACTAAAATTGATTGAATAATTTAGAAATTTGAATTTGGGGGTTGAACTATTTTTAAACCACGTGTTATAATAGGGTAACTATAAATAATTATTTACTTGAGATGCTCAATGAGAGACAATTGGTGAGTCTTAATTTGAGACATATTTTGGCAATTTATTAAGTTTTGAGGGTTAGTGGTAGAGTATTTATCCATGTAGATGACAGGTATAAGAATAGATTTAGTATACATCCACACATGACTAGGATGTACTAAGATTTGAAAGAGTGCTTTTGATAACCCAATAGAAAGAGAGATAATACAATACATTTTTACCTGTTTGACTTGTTAAAAAGCTAAGAGAGAACATTAGAGACATAGAAGGATGTTACAATAATTGGATGCGTCTAAGTAGAAATATGATAACATTTATGTGAAATTTTAATCCACATACCATAATGTGTGCGAGGACATAACACAATTTCGATTATTATAGACCAACTGACAAATCCTTAAGAAGTTGGTTCATTTTTAGCCAAATTAGAACTATGATGAACATTTTTAACTAGGTTCATGGACGACAAGCTCTAAATAGACACCTTATAATAGCCCCTTTAGTAACCCATAGAGATTTGGATATGGAAGTTTGTTGTGAGATGCTCAAGCTTTATGAGTAATTAGATTCTCAATTGAGCAATTAGATTCTCAGTTGCTATGGCATACATGCTCGTATCAACGTGTCTTCATAAAGAGATTCAAACCATCATGCACGCATGCTCAACAATTCCATCCTCTTATTGATCACATAAAAATCTTATTTCTAGACCTTAATAACTATGCTTTCCTGTATTTCTGGGGAAGGCAAACCTATGTTGACTAAATGGCAAAAAATGGTAATATTTCCAATAAAGTGTTGTTTTTCAGAGCATCTCATTATCTTTATTATCTAATGCAATGAGAAATATTTCTTCTTATTGAAAAAATTAAGGAGAAAAAGGGGAGTAAAATAAAATAAACTTCCCTTATACTAAAATTATCTACTACAACAATTATTTTTTAGAAATTCTTGTTTACCTTTTTTAATAATTAATAAAAGTTGTACAGTTTAACTTATGGAATAAAATGAATTTACCTTACCTTCTTACTTCTTTTTCTGTAATTGTTATACTAAAGGTAGGCTGTAAAGGACATACATCTCAATCAATTGAATCCATCTAATCACCAGCAGGCGAACAAGTAACTGAGGACTTCTGACCTGAGACATGTTAAGGATGCAAATCGGAAGATTTGAGGATTTTCCTCCGCATCGAGAACAATCATTTGAAGCACATCTGAAGTTTAAGAAGCAAACGTTTCAGTGATAATTTATGTAGCCATGGCACAAGAGTAAAGTTATGAAGTGACACAACGTGATCAAATAGGGGTCTACGTATGATCTCCACAACGGAAGTGAAAATTCCAGCAAATGGAATAAATGTTCCAAAGAAGCCAGTCATGTAATTCATTAAAGTAATTATCCAATCATATAAAAAAGTAGCAGCAAACATCAGGCACATGTCACCTATCCATTTGGTTGCTTTCACATTTTATATATATTAACACTTCTTCCATATCTGGGAGTAATCACAGATTCACAATAGCTAAAACATTCATGTCTGCATGTTGTGGCGGCGATTAATCACAACGACAAAACAGTTTTGAGACTGAACAAAAGATGAAACATCTGCCATATTAAAAATAGTTTATAAATTTAGTTGATGTGACAGTAACACTAGAGAAGAGGCGGGTATTGCTTTGCCTGCTGCCGGACCCTTCTCTTGTACTCTGCAGCATCCTGTAAAAAGTATTGCAATGTTAATCAAATTTTTCACATAAATAAAATCAACTAATACACGTCAACTTTTGAAAACTTTGAAATTCTATAAAAGTTTTATGTACATGAGTTGATGTTAGCTCATGCAAAAAATTATTTCACTCAATTTTTTTTCTATTACAAATGTTTATAAAGAACCTTATCCAAATAGATTCATGTTACAACATCAAATAACAATTTCTCAGCACCTATTCCAACAATATGTTCAAAGACCTAACATTCAAGTGTGTGGGCAGTCATAAAAATCCTCAGGACAGAGGACTAATAAATGTGGAGCATGGACACTCGAAAAAGTATATTATTACGACCTTCCCATACTTTGCCTTGGTTAGTTGGTTTGTATTAAAATCAGACATTCTTTATACTTCAAGGATGAATAATAATTAAGAAGATAAAAATGGGATAAGTGCCTGGATGAATAGATGATAGCCTTCTGTCTGGGCAGGATCAGCAGGATTTGGCTGGTCAAGCAAATCTTGGATGCCCACAAGAATTTGCTTCACTGTTATGGCTGGCCTCCACCCCTATAAATAATAATGACCTTTAAAACTGTTCGCTCAGAAATTAGTTCCAAGCAGTCCTACAATTATCAACAGGGATGTACTTACACTATCCTCGTTAAGTATAGACAGGCACACAGTCCCGGAAGGATAAACATTTGGATGAAAGAAACCTTGTGGGAATTTACACTTTGGCGGCTTGCTAGGGTAGTCTTCACTAAAGTGCAGCGTAAGTGGGAAGTAGCCACCCTCCCAGTCAGTCTGAAGCACACATGACACGGAAGTTAAATGAAGTAAAAACTATTCAACAAGCTGCCTAATTATATTGCAAATTCAATCCAAAGCATGAAGACAGAGAACAAGATATGATTCATTTCCAATAATCTTTCAAGCATACAATATTTGCGGAATTTCTACAACCTTAAGATAAGATGTGTCAAATGCAAATGAAGAAACTTCTCACTTCCTTCCAAACCATATTATCTCACTCATACTGGAAATTTCATTTGCATAAACTGTGATGTGACTCCACTGCATAAATACAAACATATATTTTCATTCAGGTTCCTGTATAGTGAACTATAGGAACCTAAACAGACTATATGTTCATATAATATATGCATGTTCATATATTAAATTTCTATACTTTCATTAGTAGTGGTACTTAAAGGAATGTTTGTATTTCTTGGACTTTAACTATAACTAAGTCAGGTCTATCTTAGTCATCTATAGGTATTAATATTATTGTTAATTTCTTTTCTCAATCCATTACAAATCAAGATGCTCTATTTCCAATTATTGTAGGATCTTTTAGGAGGACTGTTTAAATAGTGTTAAGGACTGATTCAAGAGATCACGGTTTGTGCAGAATGGTTAAAATATTCTTCTTTTTTTCCCATGCACTTTTTGACACTTCTCTTCTTAAGATATTAAAATTCCTTAATTCTAATTGACAACCATTTTTTCCTAAATTCTAATCATTGGCATACTATTCTTTTTTTTACCTCAGGGGATAAATAAAACTTTAATTTCAAAAATCTTTCCAAACATGTCACAAGATAAGAGGCAGAAGGGCATAATCGGAGAGAGATTAACAGATAATGTCAACAGTACATTCATGAGCAAGGTTCAAGAATGCCGCCTCATTCCTGGATATTGCAGACAAATGCCTCCAATGCAGCCACAATGCAATTGTGTTATTGTGGCAGAGACTCCAAAAACCTTGACATTCAACCAAAATAATAGTCACAGACGAATGTTTAAAACCTTGTTCCCTGGGAAAATGAAAACTGTGCCTACCATAGTCAGAGTCAGTATAAAATATGCATTCGGTTTTGTCCAAATCCCACATTTGAAGATTGTTATAGAGACTTTCATATTTTATTAGCACATTCATATCTCGGGATCGATGTTTTAAAAAAATGGTCCAAAGCCACAATGTTTGACACAAAATCAAGCTTTTAGAGGATCCGTCACTTCAATTGTAGCCACACTGACTACATTTATCTGCAATTTCCCACAACATCAAGTTTTTAGAGTCTCTGTAACTTCAATTGTAGCCACATTGACCACATTTATCCGTAATTTCCCACAACATCAAATTTTTAGAGTCTCTGTAACTTCAATTGTATCCACATTGACTACATTAATCCGCAATTTCCCACAACATCAAGTTTTTAGAGTCTCTGTACCTTAAATTGTAGCCACATTGATCACATTTATCCGTGATTTCCCACAACATCAAGTTTTTAGAGTCTCTGTAACTTCAATTATATCCACATTGACTACATTTATCCGCAATTTCCCACAACATCAAGGTTTTAGAGTCTATGTAACTTCAATTGTAGCCATATTACATTTATCCGCAATTTACCACAAAATCAAGTTTTTAGAGTCTCAGGAGCTTCAATTGTAGTTACATTGACTGCATTTATCCACAATTTCCCACAACATCAAGGTTTGCAAAAAAAGCCACCACAACTTAATTCTTGGTTGTGATTAATATTAAGACACGACAAATATGTCTATAAAATGAAACATAAGTGTGAGATATGCACCATGCAAGAGATTTGTCTTAATGAAAAAACCAATAACTATGTAATTGCTTTTCAAGTAAGTTCAAGTAGGTTATAAGTAAATATGTTATGGAAGCTTTTGAGATATGAGAAGGGGTAGATTGAGAAACCCAGTAGGGACGTATGTATTGAGGTCCCATGTCAACTATAGATATGGTCAAACTAGATCTTATAAATGCTTCAACAACCCTCATCCTTATGAACTTGTTGAGTTGATTTACATCCAACCAAAATTCAATATGGTATGGTATGGACCACCCTCAATTGCCTAAAAATTTACGTGCCCCGCAACTTTTCTCAGACAATATTAAAAATGTCAGTTACAATCTACTTCTGCTCGCTCTAGATGTACGAAACAAACCTAGAGTGTCTCCAGATCCCTGATAGAATATGGGTATGACCAAAATAGGGTTGGGCTATCCTCGCCTCATGAGTTAGTTGATTATCAGATGCCTCTCTTTTTCAAGTTATAAACCTCCATACCAGAGCATGAAATCAGAGGCAACCATCACATGATCAATTAACCAAACCTTAGACGCAACTCTTCACACTGCTGCTACCACTAGACCAACCCTAGTGAGTACCAAACCTCAAACAGAACTCTTCACAAAAGCAAACATCAAATGACGGTGAATTTAGTTTATTGAAAGTATTTGTTGTTGAACAAAGACTAAATTTTGAAAATTAAATCAACGTCTTAAAATATGTTTCGGAAACTAATTTCTGAAAAAATAAGATATTTTTAGAAAAAAAATCAAAAGGTATGAAAAAGTAAAATAAGATGATCTTAGCAATTGACCAACTTTTGAGATTGAGATAGCCCGCCCCAGTTCAAGAGTATGAAGAAAGACGAAGAGTGAGAAGTTGTGAGATAAACAAGATTCACTGATTGGGAGTGCCAATCATTACAGGAACCATGGTGGTTTCATAATCAAAAGCAAATTACACGACATTTGGGGGAATTCGATTCATAACATCAGAAAATCGTAATTGGATAAAACAAGAACGCGAAAACTCACCCCGGCCTTTCCAGGAATTGTGCAATGCCACACCATCAAGTTCACGGTTCCATCGGGCAGCGTCTCCGGCTTTGCAACAAAACCCTAAATCATGAGAGAGAAATAAAAAAGGTGAAAACACAAAACGACGCTGTTGAGAAAGGGAAGAATCGAGAACAAAGAATTGTCCGGACATGAGGATGGTTCTTCCGCCACGACTTTCGCTCCTCCGTGAGACGTCCCCGAGCAATACCACCAGACATCTTCTCTCTCGAGTCACGCAACACTTCACTCGCTCCGACTCAGCTCAGTGTTTCCGAGTTCGATAAGCGCTTTTCTTCCTTACCCCTTGCCTCTGCGTTGAGGTTGTGGGCTAACGCGGCATTTTGTATTGCCGTGACTTCCATCGAAACGTACGGTCCTGATTCCATCTTAGATTCTCGGGGTCTGCCACCGCGTTGTCGTTTTTATGTTTTGCTTTCTTCTTCTTTTTTCTTTTTTAATCGTCGCTTTAAACGAAAAGTCAATGATTATTGTATACGGATATATTTTCTATTTTTTTATTTTTATTATTAATTAAAATTGAGTTAGTGGCTCTTCTTAAAAAATATATTTATATAGAGCGAGTGAGTCTTTATTTACAAAAATTACTATAAATCTAATAAATTTACGTGTGATTTTTATATTTTAATTAAATATAAAAAGTGCATTAAAATGTTACGGTAGAGAAAGTCTTTGCTTGTTGCCGTTGTATTATTGCACTGATTCCTTTTCTATATATATTTTGTTTTATATTTTATAACATCGCGTGAGAATCACGCTGTCGTAGCCCTTACGCCTTGACATGACTGACGGTAGCCATTCTTTTGCCAAATTGACTAACCAAATTTTTGGATGTTTTCGTAACTTTATCATCACAAGTAATAATTTTTTGGTGGAAATCGATTTCGACTCTTAAGATATTTTGATCTTAATTAAAATTCTATCACGTAAGATCTTTTTGTTTAGGTTAGCAAATCAATTTTCAATCAAAATGTGTATGATGATCGAATTTTACCCGATTTCAAAGATACTATTTTTTTTTTGTGTTTTGTATTAAGAATACTCGAAGTAAAGAAAGCAGAAAATATATGGAATCTAAAAGCAGTGCTGAAACTTAGATTGCAAAGAAATGTAAACTATGACAATCTTAAATTTTCTTTAAGTGTAAAAGACAGGGAATCGAAACAGCAACAATGTAAATATCGAGAAATCGAATTTGCAGGAAATGTAAAGGACAGTAAATCAAAGGTGCAATAAATGACTGGAAATTGAAATTGTATTAATGTAAAATGACCAGGGAATTTAAACACGGAAACTTAACTTGCATTGAATCGAAATGACCAAGAATCGAAAATACAAAAACATAAAATTGCTGAATATAAATTGCATCAAAATAAATTACCAAGGAAAATAAAGAAAGCGATAAAGGTACTCCGTGAGCATGGAAACCCAGATTGCCAGAAGCTTCATGGTGTTCGTCGTTTCTCCGGTAGACTTTTTCACTACTAATCCTGTTCTCTGCCAATTTCCACCCCCCTGTTCCTTCCTCCTTTGCTCTATTTATAGGGCATCATTCAAGCCTTCCAGGAGCAGTTAACAAAACTGCTACCACGTTCTACGTGCATGTTGCAGTTTATCTTCTACAGTTTCCCACGTTCTCACGATCTTCGACTTCTATTATGGTTTAGAAACTGCTTCCTATATGTGCGTTTGACTATTCTTCCTTTCACGGTTTGCCCAAAGTCTCGATGTCCACGTAGGTTGGCTTTCTTCACTTTCGATTTTGTGTTTTCGAGAACTCCAAATTGCTTACGGTTCCTTTTTAACCTTGACCTCATATAACTCTAATTTCTTAGTTTTTATTCGACAATAGGCATTTGGCTATCATTCACTCGATTCTCGATTGTGCTTCTCGATGTTATGTGCTATGTACTTCTAATTAGACATCAAATGGTTTTTTGTCTATCTTATCGATTTATTAATCAGTCGCATATTTTCTCGCTTTTCTTTCCTTCGATTTCGATCGCTTTTTTCGATTTACCACTAACAAAATGCCCCCTTGGAAGAATATGAATAGTTTCTGTTCATATTCTTTCAATATTCCCGCCTTAGTATTTGGAGGCCCACAGAACTTAGGGTTTAGGGTTTCTGGGGTTCTAGGGTTTAAGGGGTTTTGGGTTTCTTTTTTGCTTTATGTCGCCGTCTCGTCAGTCTGCTGCCTTACGGTACAAGTCACATTAATTACCTTTCGCCTTCGTCGTTTCCAGCTCCCTAGGTGATTTTCCCCTTAATCTCTTCATTGGTCTTTACTTTGGTTTTTTACGCGAACCTTTACCCTTTGCAACTTCATCTTCTTCCTTGAGCTCTTGTCTTCATCCCTGCACCTTCATCTTTTACCTTGCTTTTCTTCACCCTACCAGTTACTGAAATGACAACTTCCTCTAAATCTTCTGACTTTTCCGCTCCACCCCTTCCCTCATTGGCATCGAACCTGCTGGAGATCAACAATCAGAAGTTCGCTCCAGTCCCTCTGATGGAGGAAGCTTCTCGGAAAATTGCTGAGACGCAGGTACTTATTCCTTACACTGCTGATGGTGTTAATTACGCTTTTGGGGGTCCTCTTCGTCCTATTGATGGAACCTTTTCTCCCCTCAACTTCTCGAATAGTTCGGCTCTTGTACACCAACCTGAAGTTATGATTGATTTCTTGAACCTTGTCTCTAAGGTGTATCGGACAGGCCCTCCTTCCAAAAAACCTTTGTACATTAGATGGTTTGATAGGGTTAAAGCTAAATTCGGGGATCATTGGAGAAGCGTGGGAATTTTTGATTTTTTGCACCTGTCCCGATGTGACTTATCTCATTTGGACATGGCTATGTTTTTGGCTGTCGTTCACTTGTGGAATAAGGAAATACATGCCCTGGAATTACCTTGCGGTCCTCTTTCGCCTACCCTTTTTGAAGTCGCGGCCATTACTGGATTAGAACCTATAGGGGAAAGGTATTTTAAAGGTGCTTGTCCCTCGGATAATTCTCTAAGATCTAAAATCGATTGGGAATCGAAAGCTTATGGGCATTTCCTTGAGAAACATTTCGTCGATGATGAATCGATAATTGTAACTGATGAAGAGCATATCGCCTTTTTGGTGTATTGGTTGTGTACCCACGTTTTTTGCCCCCGATCGATCCAAATCTCCTCCCATATGTTTGACCTTGCATATCTCCTTCACTTAGGCCAACCTAGAATATGTTTGGCCAAATTTTTGCTAGCACATGTATATACTGCTTTAGACGAGGCCGTCGAAATTTTGAGTACTCCTAAAACTTCTGGAAATTTCTCTGGCCCTATTTGGTTTATACAGTTGTGGCTGAATTCGATTTTTGAGAGCATCCTTCCCCCAACTTCTACCGTCCCCCCGAGTGTAAATATAGAAGGGGCCCGATTGTCTTCTCGCCATCCTCACCAAAAGCCAGATGAAGCTGCTTATTGTAGATACCTCAACTTTTTGTTAACTAAAGTTAATTTCGATTCGACTTTGGCTCCTTTTACCGTACATCTGGGACGACTAAGTGACCAACTCAAGGGGCCAATTTGGTTTAAGTCGAAATTCCCTGCTTCGACTCCTGGATTGCAACTAGAGTTGGTAGATGTATGGAATAACTATTTAACTCATGATATACTAGTATCGGGTTTCCAATCCAAAGATTTCAAGTTCATTACTTACTACCCTCAACTATTCTCGAGACAGTTTGGTCTGAGCCAATCTTTACCCTTTTTTCCCCTAGATACCTCCCCAAGGTCCAAGTTAACTGAATCGATACTCGGACGGGAGCTTGTCAAGTTTTTGCCAAAAACCCCGATGCATCTTTACCCCTATATTTTTGAATCAAATTATTTATCGACTGTGGGTTTTTCTCAATGGTGGTCTGATTGGTTCTCGAGTAATCATGCTGCTTTTGACGAGATCCGACAGAAATTGACTGTTCATCCTTCTTTTGTGTTGCAGGACAAATCGAAAGCGAAGAAAGGTATACACTTCCACTGTCTCCAAATATATCGATTCGAGAATTTTTATCAAATATGTTATAACCCCCTGAGATTAGAGTCGACCTATTACGATGTTGTTATCTCCTTATCTTATAAAACAGACACTAAACAATCGAACCACAAAATAGTCAATCCTTTAGGAAAAACTCCTTTTGAAATGTATTGTCCTGATCGCCTTCCTACTTTCCCTACAGCACCCTTTGGGATTGCCAAACCTTTAACTCATCCAAAATGGGTTCGAGAATTAAGAACCTCGAAAGAAACACTCCATCCCAAACCAAAAAACAAAGATATTTCTGTATCGAAATTATCTTATTTCCCTTACTTACACCTCCCTCAAATTCTTCTTCCTCCCTGGCTTGTACATATCGATCGAGTCACAATTTTGACTCCATCACCTTTTGTGAGATTTTGCTGCTTTTTCTAGATATTTTTAATTTTTTGATTATTATAAGCTAACTGTCTTCTTTCTCGACAGTTTCGAAGTCCTCTAAGGTAACCATTGCTGAGAAAGAGAAGGAGAAAGACTGGGAATCCTCTGTTGAGTCTGATCTCTCTGCCCTTGTCAGAAAGCGTAAACACTCGGCCACCATTTCTTCATCTTCTAAAAAATCTAAGGTTATTTTCGTTTCCTTGTTTATTCTATCTTTTCATTTATAGTCACTTCACTTGGGTTCTAACATCCTTCCGTTGTTTTTCGATTTCTAATTTCAGAAACAAAAATCGAAGAGTCCTCGATCTGTTCAGCCCTCTGCCCTCGATCCTTTATCGACGGACTCTAACACGATTCCTACAACGGGCCAAGCTACACCCGTCACTCACTCAAGTCACGTGAGTTTCCTCTTTGCACAAACTTTGTATTCTTAGATTTCAATGGGACCTATAACATGACTTAAAATTTCGGTATTTCTCCAGGATCACCCATCGGCGACTATATCGACGAATGTCGATTCTCAACTTTTGTTACCACTACCCCTTCCTGAGGTACTATTCTTTATATCATTTTGTATGTATACTTGACCTTTTTTATGCATTTCCTTTTCTGACCTTTGTTTTTGATTCACAGCAGCCTGAGGCTATACAGGTTCTTCCTCCTTCCTCAACACTCCTCGCTCTACCTCCCTCTGGTATTTATACTTTTCTTTCACTGTTACTTTTTCATTTCATTCTATTA